GACGGCTCAGTGACAGCCCCAGGGACCTCCTGCTTTGCTCCTTGTGCTGGGAGGGGAAATGTGAGAGGACTCCCCGTCCTTCGCTGAGGGGAACAGGTTGAGGTCCTGGCCTCCCGCAGCCGGGCGCTGGCTCCCTGCTCCACTCCTGCAGCCCTGGGACAAACCCTGGTCCCGTTGCACCACCGTCCCCTGCTCCTCCTGGGGCTCTGCCCTGCAGTGGGACCCCATCAGCCGCGAGCTGCTTCTGTCTGTCCCGGGGGCACAACTTCCCTAAAGGAGAAAAGAAATGATGCAAAAATCCCGGCTGCGGGGCTGGGGTGGGGGGAGCTGGCAGCCCTCCGATTTCGAGTGGCCTGGGCACTCCTGCTGCCGCCCGTTGCCTGCCAGCCCTGCCGTGGGACCACCAACCCTGCCGTGCCGTGCCGTGCCGTGCCATGCCATGCAGGTGTGGGACCACGGCCCCCTGCCAGAGTCTCGCTGCCCTTCGGGGGGGCTCAGCCGTCCTGGTGAGGCTGCTGCCTGGGCTGATGTTGAACGAAGAGGGAAAAATACTTAAAAATCGAGGCCAAATGGGTCAGTTGGTCACAGCGACACAGGCTGGTTTGGGCTCTGGGCTGCCTGCCCTCCGGCGCTGCCGCTCAGCCGTGAAACCTATTTTTAGTGGTGAACTAAAGGCAGTCGGAGCCCGGCATAGTGCAAATGCATGGAGGGGAAGAGGGAGGTGTGGGCAGCCTTCCTCCACCCCACGCACTGCGGGTAGGACTCAGGGCGGCGGGTCGGGGCTTTTAGCCCTTGCCCTGGCACAGCCGCCCGGGCTGAGCCCCGGAGCGGGGGACCAGGGGAGGTGGGATGCACATCACTGCCCATCCCGGGACGGATGGAACAGGGGCCCCATCGGGCACTCGCAGGGTCGGTGGGAGCTTTTCCACAGGCTCTGGCTGAGGCTCTGCTCCAACCGTTTGCATCCTTGGCAAGGAGGGACGGAGGCACTGGCCTTCCCCAGCCTGGCCTCACTTGTTGTGCTAATTAGGGAGGTCGGAGCTGGCAAGGCTGCTCTCCCCACCAGCCGCAGTAAGAGCGCTGTCGGCGTCGCTTAATGGGGAACAGATTTTCCCCCAGTACGGGAGGGCCCTGCGGGCTGGCCGTGCCGTGCGTGCTTGTGTCCCGGCGTGGGAAGGGGGTGGCACACCCCCCACGCACCCAGCTCCCCCTCACCTTCTCCCCCGCCTTGCTGCAGCATCAAATGCCCTTTTGACGCTGCTCCCAAGGGACCAGGTCCCCACGCAGCAGCTCTGTCCACCCGCAGCGGCTTGAAACTCATGGGCAAGGCAGAGGGGAGGTGGGGAACAGAGCCGGGCTCTTTGCAGAGCATGAGGTACTGCTGAATGTATGTGATATTCACGCCTACAAATGTACTTTAGTGACAGCTGCCTGTGAAAAATGCTAATAAAATAGCAGTTGCCGGTGCAGGGCTACCCAAAAGCGCAGCTCAGCCCTGCAGTGATGCTCTGCAAACCTACCCTCAGAGAGGTCCCACCTTCTCCACTGGCTCCTTGGGGCTGGACATGGGCAGGGGCAAAGCCAGATTTTTCAGCCCCCTACCCCAAGTCTGGGGCACATTCGCTGCCCTGAGCAGTGCTGGCTGCTCCGCTCATGTCCCAGGCGCTCCTGAAAATCAGCGGGATGGTTCTGGGATGGGGGAATGATGGACCAGAGCAGGGAATGACAGACCAGAACAACTCAAGTCCCTGGAAAGGGCTCAAAAAGCAAAGTTCAAGCCTTCTTCTGGATGCAAGCTGATGCCGGCCATCCACCTTACAAACCACTGGGGAAGGCAAGAGTTAAACCCTCCTGCCTGGGAATTAATTAACAACAGATGTGCTTGGGTTTAACTAATTACTCTCCTGCCAGCACTTGGTTTTTACCGTTCTCTCAGGGCTGGGAGCCGTAGCACCGTGCCCATGTGGCTGCTGGCCCCACAGGCTGGGCCGTGCTGGGCACCCTGGGCTTGCCTGCCCTCCTTCCCTGGCCCCTCACTCGGTGTCTTAAGTGAAACAATTCAGTGAAACCGGCTAAAAGTCATATGAAATGGTCCAGTTGCCTAAAATAGCATCGCTCCGTTGTTGCTGTTTTCAAAGCAGCTTAGTGGCCAGGTCCCCCCAGGGGTGACAGGCGTCTGCCTCCCCGGGATGGGCAGTGCGTGAACCCGGCTGGCCGGGTTGTCCGACACTTTCTGCTGGCAATTTATTATGGCTGGGACATGGGATGTATTAATGACAGGAGCTTATTGTCTAATTGCTAATAGACTGCCAGGGCCGCGCGTTCCCAGGGCTGTGTCTGTGCTGCCGGGCTCCCATGCTGAGCATGTCTAGAGATGCAGCCAGCGTACAGCAAGATGTACAACACAAGGCTTGGAAACTATGCAGGAGCCGTGGCAGGCAGGTGAGAAGCCCTTCTGCTTCGGGGCTGGCTCACCCCATGGCCGTCAGGTTTCTGGGCACCCTCTTTCTCTGTGCGCTGCGGGCGGCAGGAGGATGCTGTACGGGATGAGCCCCGCATCTGAGCCTCTGCTCCTTTGGTGGGGGATTGCTTTCAACAGCCTGAGCTATTTCTGTCCACAATCACAATCAATAAAGCAAGAGAGAGGATTTTTATTTTCCACTCCAAATACTTTCTTCATCCTGTTTCCTCCCAGTTCACACGGCGGACTGGGGTGCGCTCCAGCAAGGAGGCCCACGAAGCCGTCTCCTCCTCCTCCTCCTCACTGCTGATGCAGTCCCCCGCTCCTGCTCTCACTCCTGCTCCTGCTCCTGCCCCAGCCCCATGCAACCCCGACGGTCCCTTCTAATTCGCTGCAATCTAAGGGGCAGGTTTTGCTTGGGGGTGGGGGGGAGCGAAAGGCGTTGCACATGTGCGTGCGTGCGCACACACACACACACTCACACACATATACAAGAAAAGTTTCAGAGCCAAAGGGAAAAAAATAAAACTAGGTCTTTGGAAGACAGAGTGGCTCATGTAATCCCAGGTTCTGCTGGGCTGCCTCCGCACAGCGCGGCGATGGGGGGACGGGCCGAGGGGAGACGACTGCAGTCTATTAAACTTCCTTTGAGAACCTGCCAGACTGACAACAGCTGGAAGGAATTAACATTTCAGGTCCACCAGCTCCTCTTCTCGCTTTCGCCCTTCCCCAGAAACCAGCTTGAGGCCACTGGCCCAGCAGTATCACTTTTTCCCACTCCCTGGCGTCTGACAGTATCTGGTCCGAGCTGATTCCTTCTTTGATCCTGAACCTGCCAGAAGCGTGAGCATCTGCTGAACGAAAAGATCCCGGTGCCTGTGCCAGCACAAGCACCCAGTTTGGGATCCCTTGTCTCTTAGAGGGTTGGGACCAAGGTGGGTGTCACAACGGTGCTGCAAGGTGGCTTGAAGCCATCTCGCACCTCTCAGCCTCCTGCACAAGAGACAGCACTGTCAAGGAAGGAGAAAATACCCAGGCTGCCAGCTGCTGCCACTCAGGGCTGCACGGACGCCCTGCATGCGTGCAAGATGCAGGAAAGGGTTTGCTGGCCGGTGAAACCCCACTAGCTGCCAGAGAGCCCGTGTTTGCTGTCGCTTTGGGGTGTCCTCGTACTGTGCATGCACCCATGCCGGGGGGAGCCTCGGAGCTGCCCGTCCCCCTGATTATGGGGACCTGCACCCCGGTGAGGGGGTGCTGCCAGCCTGGCACCCTGGCCCCTTCGCTCCTTGCGGCAGGAGCTTGGCAGGAGCCGGGTGAGGGGGAGCGGGGTGGGACGGCTCCATGCTGCTGTCGCCAGCACAGATTACGCAGAAAGTTATCGTGTCTC